TTCACTGGTGAATTATACCAAATATTTAAAGAGAAAATAATACCTATTTTCTGCAATCTTTTCCAGAAGACAGAAGCAGGAGGACTACTCCCTAAGTCATTTGTCACTCTAATATCAAAACCAAAGACATTACCAGAAGACTAAAGACCAGTATCTCTCACAAAGATGCAAAAATTAGCAACAAAATATTAGCAAATCAAGTTCAACATATGTAAAAAGAATTACAGCTAGTGCTCGACTTACAACCATGGTCGGGACTGCGGACCGGTCGTAACACGATTTGGTCGTAAGTTGAGTAGGCTATATGTACAGTCGAAATGGTGCATGTGGAGATGGTAGTGCTGCCGGAAGCTGGTCCGCACTGTCGTACGCCCACCTGGGCAACGTTTGCGCTGCCAGACGCGGAGCAGTCGTGGCTAGCGATTGTGGTCGTAAAGTCGAATGGTCGTAAGTTGCATAGGTCGTAAGTCGATCAATACCTGTACAGGCCATGATGGCCGGGCGCAGTGGCTCACACCTGTAATCCCAGCACTTTGGGAGGCTGAGGCGGGGCAGATCATGAGGTCAGGAGATTAAGACCATCGTGGCCAACATGGTGAAAAATACAAAATTATCTGGGTGTGGTGTGGCATACCCGTAATCTCAGCTACTCAGGAGGCTGAGGCAGGAGAATCGCTTGAACTTGGGAGGCGGAGCTTGCAGTGAGCCGATATCACACCACTGCACTCCAGTCTGGCGACAGAGCATGACTCCGTCTCAAAAAAAGAAAAGAATTGCAGGCCATGACCAAGAGGGATTCATCCCACGTATGCAAGACTGGTTCAATATTCAAAAATCAGCTAATATATCAACAGGCAAGAAGAAAAATGACATGATCATATCAGTAGATGTAGGAAAAGCATTTGACAAAATCCAACCCCTGTTCATGATAAAAATTCTCAGTAAATTAGAAATAAGAACTTCCTCAACTTGATAAAGAATATCTACAAAAACCTACAGCTAACATCATCCTTAACGGTGAGAAACTAGATGCTTTCCCCCAAGATTAGGAACAAGGCAAGGATGTCCCCTGTCACTATCACTTTTCAACATCATATGGAGGTCTTGGCCAGTGCAACAAGGCAAAAAAGGGAACTAAAAGGCATATAGACTACAGAGGAGGAAATAAAACTGTTTTTGTTCACAGATGTCACAATCATCTATGTAAAAGAATCTAAGAGCCGACAAAAGGAAAAATCCCTAGAACAAAGAAGCAATTTCAGCCAAGCTTCATGGTGTAAGGATGGTGTCCCAAAGTTAACAGATTTCTTACGTGCCAGCAAAGAACAATTGGAATTTAGAATTTAAAATATTTGAGAAAGACAGGAAACAAAAAAAGAAAAAATAATAATAAAATTTAAAATACATTACCATTTACATTAGCATCCCCCAAAATGAAATACTGAGATATAAATGTAACAAAATATGTACAAGATCTATATGAGGAAAACTATAAAACTCTGATGAAAGATATCAACGAAAAACTTCACAAATGGAAAGATATTCTATGTTCATGAATAGGAAGACTCAATATTTTTTTTTTGAGACAGGGTCTCGCTCCGTCACCCAGGCTGGAGCGCAGTGGCGCCATCTCAGCTCACTGCCACCTCCGCCTCCCAAGGTCAAGTCATTCTTCTGCTTCAGCCTCCCAAATAGCTGGAATTACAGGCACCACCATCACACCTGGCTAACTGTTTTGTGTTTTTAGTAGAGACGGGGTTTTGACATTTTGGCCAGGCTGGTCTCAAACTCCTGCCCTCAGGTGATCCAACCGCCTCTGCCTCCCAAAGTGTTGGGATTACAGGTATGAGCCACTGCACCAGGCCAAAAGACTGAATATTATCAAGACAGCGGTTCTCAATATTAAGATAGCAGCAGATCAAGATAGCTAACTTGATCTACAGATTCTACATAATAACACAATTAGTAAACTGGGTCTAAGTTTATGTGGAGAGGAAAAGATCCAAAATAGTCAACTCAATATTGATGGAGAACAGTCCCAGGACTAGTACCACCTGACTTCAAGGCTTACTCTAAAGCTATAATAATGAAAACAGCATGATACTGGCAAAAGAATAGGCAGACAGATCAACGGAACAGGATAGAGAGCCCAGAGTATTAAAAGTAATGTTTCTAATAGACCTATATAAATGTGTCAACTGATCTTTGACAAAGGAGCAGAAGCCACACAATGGAGCACAGACAGTGTTTTCAACAAACGGACGCTGGGACAAGTGGACATCCACACACGAAAAAAAAAATCTAGACACAGACCTTATACGTTTCATAAAAACGCAAAACGAAGCATAAACCTCAGTAAAATGCAAAACTGTAAGACTCCAGAAGATAACAGGAGAAAACCTAAATGACCTTGGGTATGGTAATGGCTTTTTAGATACAATACCAAAGGCGTGATCCATGAAGGAAATCAGTGATGAGCTGAGCTTCATTAACATTAAAAACTTCTTCTCTGTGAAAGGCAATGGCTAGAGAATGAAAAGGCTAGTTGCAGACTGGGAGAAAACGTTTGCAAAAGTCACATCTGATAAAAGACTGTTATTTAAAATATACAAAGAGCTGGGTGCAATGACTCACACCTGAAATCCCAGCACTTTGGGAGGCCAAGGTGGGCAGATCCCTTGAGGTCAGGAGTTCAAGACCAGCCTGGACAATACGGTGAAACCCCGTCTCAACTGAAAATACAAAAATTAGCTGGGCGTGGTGGCACACACCTGTAATCCCAGCTACTTGGGAGGCTGAGGCAGTGAACTGTTTGAACCCAGGAGGTGGAGGTTGCAGTGAGCTGAGACCATGCCACTGTACTCCAGCCTGCGTGACAGAGCAAGACTTTGTCTCAAATAATTAATTATACAAATCAATTATATAACTCTTACAACTCAACAATAAGAAAATGAACAACCCAGTTTTTTTAAGGGGCAAAAAAAAAAAAACCATACATGTCACTAAAGAAGATATTCACATGGCACATGGGCATCTGAAAAGATGGTGAGCGTCATACGTCATTAGGGATGGCAGACAGCACGATGCCAATACACGCCTATTAGAATGACCAAAATCGCCTGGCACAGTGGCCCACACCGACGTTCCCAGCACTTTGGGAGGCGGAAGCGCGAGGATCACTTGAGCCCAGGAGTTTGAGACCAGTCTGGGCAACAAAGCGAGACCCCATGTCTACAAAAAATTTACAAATGATATGGGTATGATAGCACATGACTGCGGTCCCAGCTACTCTGGAGGCTGAGGTGGGAGGATTGCTGGAGCCCAGGAGGTCGAGGCTGCATGAGCTGTGATCGCACCGCTGCACTCCATGAGCACCACAGTGAGACCTTCAAAAGAAAAAGAAAAGAATGACCAAAGTTCATAGCACTGAAAACTTCAAATGCTGGTCAGGATATGGAGCAGCAGGGACACTCCTTCATTGCTGGTGGGAGGGCAAAATGCTACAACCACTTCGGAAGACAATTTGGCAGCTTCTTACAAAATTAAACCATACTCTTACTATACAGTCTATCAGTCACACTCTGTGGTATTTACCCAAAGGGACGGAAAACTTTTTTGTCCACACAAAAACCTGTACATGGATGTTTATAGCAGCTTTATTCATAATTGCCAAAACTTGGAAGCAATCAAGATGTCCTTCAGCAGGGGACCTACGGAACATTCAGACGATGGAATATTAACAGGGGACCTATGGAACATTCAGATGATGGAATGTCATTCAGTGCTAAATGAGATGAACTATACAGCCATGGAATCCATACAGATAACCTAAATGCATATTACTATGTGAAAGAAAGCAATCTGAAAAGGCTACTTACCTCATGATTCCCATTATATGACATTCTGGAGAGGGCAAAATTATGAAGACAGTAAAAAGATTCATGGTTGCCAGGGGTTAGGGCTGAACAGGTGGAGCACAGAGGAGTTTTAGGGCACTGAAAATACTTGTTTTTCTGTATGATACTACAACGGCAGAAACATATTTTATTTTATTTTATTTTTTGAGATGGAGCCTTGCTGTGTTGCCCAGGCTGGACTGCAGTGGCATGACCTTGGCTCACTGCAACCTCCGCCTCCTGGGTTCAAGTGATTCTCCTGCCTCAGTCTCCCAAGTAGCTGGAATTACAGGCACACAACGCCATGCTCAGCTAATTTTTGTATTTTTATAGAGTCAGGGTTTCACCATGTTTCCCAGGCTGTTCTTGAACTCCTGACCTCAAGAGATCTGCCTACCAAAGTGCTGGGATTACAGGCATGAGCCACTGCGCCCGGCCAGCAGATACACTGCTGAATGGAGAATGTCCGACGCCAAAAGTGAACTGTAAACCCTGGACTTTGAGTGATGAGGGTATGTTGCTGTGGATGCATCAACCGTCACAAATGCACCTCTCCGGTGCAGGATGCTGATGGCGGGGAGGCTGTGCGTTTGTAGATGGTGTGTGGCAGGGGGTATACGGGAACTTCTGTATTTCCCACTCAGGAAAATTTTGCTGTGAACCTAAAACTGCTCTAAAAAAAAGTAAATTTGATTATTTAAAAGATGATTTTTAAACGAATATATTTAAATTTTTTAAAGAATTAAGCACACATGGCACTAAGGGGGCAGCTTGGGAGCCAACCACCCGCCCGTTGTGAGGGAGGGAGAGGCCTGCAGGCACGATGGAGCTGAGGCTGCCCTCACCTGGCCACCAGAATCCCAAGTCCATGAGGGCTTCGTCATGTGACTCAAGGTCGGAGACAGCAGAAGGTCCAAACGTTACAACACAGCCAATGACTCACACATATGCGGTTGGACACACGGCTGCAGCAGGCACTGCGCACCATCAACCGTGGAGAAGGGAAACCAGGAAGAGCAAAAGCGAAGCAGCAAATGGGAAGCAGGCCGCCCCAAACCCAAAGTCCCTCCTCCCCCGTCCATCTGCAGGCACTAAGCTTCCCCTGCTCCCACTGAGCAACGGAGGCAGCGGGAGGACGGAGTTTGTGTGTTCTCCCGAAGAAGACAAGAGATCCAACGCCGGGGAGAATGATGGGGACTTGCTACCGCTGAAGGAGCCCTGCAGATTGGAGAGAAAAGAGGAGGTGGGGACCCTGGTGGTAGAGGATACATGAAAAGTAGGGCTTTCTGGGCCAGGCATGGTGGCTCATGCCTGTAATCCCAGCACTTTGGGAGACCGAGGCAGGTGGATCACCCGAGGTCAGGAGTTCGAGACCAGCCTGACCAACATAGTGAAACCCCATCTCCACTGAAATTAAAAAAATTAGCCAGGGGTGGTGGTGCACGCTTGTAGTCCCAGCTACTCAGGACGCTGAGACAGGAGAATCCCTTGAACCCGGGAGGCGGAGGTTGCAGTGAGCTGAGATGGCACCACTACACTCCAGCCTGGGCGACAGAGCGAGACTTCATCTCAAAAAAATAAACTAATAAAAGTAAGTCTGTCTGATTTAGCAAATGAAAATACAGGAAGGCCAGCTTAAATTTCAGATTAATCACAAATAATTGGTTTACTATAAAGATATCCCATGAACCATTTTGGACATTCTTGTGTTTTTAAGTGTTCATCATTTATCCAAGGCTCTAATTTAACTGGACACCCTGTATTTTCTTGGTGAGCCCAGTCAAAGCTACTGAGGCCCTGACTGCGAGGGAGGAGGAGACGTCACGGGAAAGGAGAGGCACCTGGGGACACCCTTCTCTAGCTGGACAGGGAGCTGCCCCTTCGTGAGTGGGACAGTTGGAAGGACAAGGTCGCAACCGTGCGTTTTCCTCAGCTTACTCCCTGGCTCTGAGTGGTCTGGATTCTGTCACTTTGAGCCTGGAATAAAAGAACTGACCAGCTCTACTCCAGGGTGCCAGGCATGAGTTTGCTTGGTAGGGAGAAGGGCGCAGACCCCTGTCCCCTGCTGGTGGCAGGCAGCTGGAACAGATTCAGTGGCTCAGGAGTGGCAGAGGGAGCTATCTGGGACAAAGCTTGGCCAGAGACACAGATTCCCTTGCCCATTCTTCCCTGCTCTGGAAGGAGCCTTCCAGAAACTCCCCGCAGGCCTGAAGTAAGCGGCTTCATGACCAGGATGATGAGTGATAGGTAACTGGCATGATGTGCTCCTTTAGGCACTTACTGGGACCAGAAAGTGGTGTACTGCCCACTCATGACGGTGCAGGGCATGCCCACGGAATTCGCGTCCATTCGCTGCTGTGCATAATTTGGTGGCCGGTCCCCTCACAAAGGATGGAGGCAGGACTGGCTGTGGCAGAAGCTTCGGATGAGGTCTCTGGGCAGAAAGTTCCACCTCATGCTGTCTTCATCATTGCTGTGGAGCTTCAGCAACTCAGAGTTCACGCAGAGTCGCAGGGGACTTTACACGGGCTGTCTTGTTTAGGACTACGCTTCCATTTGTCTTTGTAACACATGTGACAGTTTTACCTCACATGCACACTCCTTTAGAATCTTACATTGCTGGAGAGTTTTCTCCGGGTGCTTCTGGCTCCTGTTGGTTTGGTAATATTACTCCTGCTAAGTTTGATCATTTCCAGGAATACACACACACACACACACACACATACACACAAACACACACATACAGACACACACACACAGAGACACACACACAGACACACAGACACACACGCAAACACACACACGCAAACACACACAGACACAGACACACACACACAGAGACACACACACAGACACACACAGAGACACACACAGAGACACACAGACACACACACAGACACACACACGCAAACACACACACAGACACACACACACAGACACACACACAGACACACACACGCAAGCACACACAGACACACAGAGAGACACACACACAGAGACACAGACACACACACGCAAACACACACACAGACACACACAGACACAGAGACACACAGAGACACACACACACAGACACACGCAGACACACAGAGACACACACAGACACACACACAAACACACACAGACACACACAGAGACACACACACACAGACACACAGACACACACAGAGACACACACACACACGCAAACACACACACAGACACACACAGAGACACACACACACAGAGACACACACACACAGACACACAGACACACACACAGACACACACAGAGACACACACGCAAACACACACAGAGACACACACAGACACACACACAGAGACACACACAGACACACAGACACACAGACACACACAGAGACACACACAGAGACACACACACAGAGACACACAGACACACAGACACACACACACACGCAAACACACACACATTCTCTCTTTCTTCCTCTTTATTGCCCGCCCCCCACATGCAATCATAATTATACACTTTAGTTCCCAAATGCTTCTAATCTGTTTTGTTGTTGTTGTTGTGTCTGAGACAGGGTCCCGCTCAGCTGCTCAGGCTGGAGTGCAGTGGCGCAATCTCAGCTCACTGCAACCTCTGCCTCCCGGGTTCAAGCAAAATTCTCCTGCCTCGGCCTCCTGAGTAGCTGGGATTACAGGTGTGAGCCACCACGGCCTGCTAATTTTTCTATTTTTAGTAGGGACAGGGTTTCACCACGTTGCCCAGGCTGGTCTCAAACTCCGGGCCTCAAGCAATCTGCCCCCCTCAGCCTCTCAAAGTGCTGAGATGACACTCGGCCTCTAATTTGTATACTCCTTATTTTACAGATTTTTAAAGGTAGTCAAATTTCACAAATTTTTGACTTCCAAAAACAACGATAATCAGCGTTGTATGTACACGCGTGTCCTCGTATGCAGCACTTAAGATGACGTGAGCCACTGTATTAGGTACCACCAATGTGAGGAGGTACAAAGCAAGAGAAGAAAAACTAAGAATCGGGTTTATGTAACAGTGGTGTTGTCACCTTTGTAAACTGCTCCATTCATACCTAATTGGAGTGCAGCTTTGTAACAATTTATCGTTAAATTTACATTTTGTTTGACTTCAATACTGAATGCCATTTTCTTAACTTTCAGAGCTCCCTCAACTTCTGGGGCCATCTGCTCACATGGCCCGCCATTCGTCTGTTGCTCAGCCAAGACATCAGCCCCTCATGTGGAGGGCTCCATGCCAGCTTCTGTGAAGACTGGTGAATACTAGCGGCCGCTTGTCCCAGAGCACGTGCAATGTAACAAACTTGTAAATAAAATAAGCACATTGTAATACAGCATGTTCGGTGTCATAACAGAAACACAAGTAAAGAGATCAGGAAATCAGCGCCTCTGCAGGGAATCTGACAGTCATGGAGAGGTGCCATCTGAACTGGGCTTTGAGGAATGAGTAGGAGTTTTCCAGGGGAAGGGACAAGGGGGACAAATGGTGGGCAGAAGCTCCAGATGAAAGCAGGTGTGCCTGGGGTTAGCGATGCCCCCTGCGGAGGGAGCATAGGTTATGGAAGATGGGCTCACAGAACCTGGAGCTAAGGAAGTTGGCTGAGGCCAAATCTTGAAGGCCCTTGCACACCAAGGTGGGGATTTCATCCTGGAGGTGGGAGCAGGAGTAGCTTTGATTTGGGAGAGAAAAGCTCTAGAGATAGTGTAAAAGGTAGCTTGGAGTTTAAAAAATTTTTAAGTTCCATTTTAAGAAAATAAGATAAAATAATATTTCATGAACTTCTTTCCATCTTAATAAACACATTTCAACACAACTTCTATAGACTGTGTAAAATAACACTATATGTTTAACCAAAGTGTTACATGGGGAGATTTTAGGTCATTTGTGTTTCGTTTTGTCTTTTTCATCTATTGGTTGTTATAAACAGGCACAGATTATTAATTATTTCCTTAAGGTAAACCAGTAATGAGACTGCTGAATTAAAGGTATGTACATTTTTCAGGCTTTAAATAAGTCAGTTAAATTGTCCTCCAGAAAGGCTGCACCAATTTCATTCCTACTAGGAGTGTTTGAGATGCCCCTTTGCCCAGCACCCAGCTGGATCAGTACGAGACGCACAGTAAGCACTCTCTCACTGCATTAATTGACCTGTTTTTGATGAAGTCAAACATTCTTCCTCATGGTGGGGCGGCGGGAGGAGAGGACGCTTGTATTTCTTCTTTTGTGAATCGCCTGCTGCTATTTATCCATTTTTCTGCTGGTGTGTCTGCCTTTTCTTTCCTTGCTCTGTAAGAGTTCTCTGTATATTGAAGGCATCCTGTTGTTGCTATATGCGGTGTAACTTTCAATTTGTTATTTCTGTACATGTCTAACTTTAATCCCTGGCAGAAGAAACAGATTTGAATCCTCCATGACACGTAGCTCAGTCTCTCTTCTGCGGCAGGTACTCAACAGATGTGCCAAGATGAGTGGATTATTTTTATCCAAGCTACTTTATGAAACCCATTCTGCCCTACTCCAGAAACGAAGGGATCAGTTGAACGTCCACACTCCCCTTGCTCCCAGCAATGTCAATTTGTCTCCTTGTTTCTTTCATTCATCCAACGAATGTTTACTGATCCCCTGATATGTGCCAGGTACCATTCTGGGCACTGGGGTTACCATAATGGGCAAAATCTTTCATTCTAATTGGGGGACTCAGATAACAAAGAAAACAAATAAAATATGTATGATGTTCAATTGTGATCAGCACTGTAATGTACATCAAAATACAGAAGGGGAGGCCGGCGGCTCACGCCTGTAAAACCAGCACTTTGGGAGGCCGAGGCGGGTGGATCATCAGGCCAGGAGATCGAGACCAGCCTGGACAACATAGTGAAACTCCGCTTCTGCAAAAAATACAAAAAATTAGCCAGGCATGGTGGCAGGTGCCTGTAATCCCAGCTACTTGGGAGGCTGAGACATGAGAATTGCTTGAACCAGGAGGCGGAAGTTGCACTGAGCTAAGATCGCGCCATTGCACTCCAGCCAGGGTGACAGAGCAAGACTCCATCTCAAAAACAAAGAAAGAAAATAATACAGGAGTGGAGACTGAATCTGAAAGCAGCATGGTCGCAGAAGACCTCACTGAGAAGGGAAATGACGGCGGGCGTGGAGGGTTGGCCCAGTGGATATCTAGAGGAGAAGGCTTCTGAGCAGACTGAACAATGTGCAGAAAGGTCCCAAGGCAAGAGCAGGCTCCGTGCATTCAGGGACAAGAAAGGCATCAGCGTGGCTGCAGCACAGAGAGGGACGACGGGAGGCAGGGGCTGCAGGTCACGCACGGCTTTGCAGCCCTCATCGGAGCTCTGCTTTTCTTCTGAGTGAAATGGGAGGATTGGAGCAAAGATGTGGTGTGGTCTGCCTTATGTTGGAGAAGGACAGCCCTGGCTACACACTGGGACTAGACTGGGGAGGAGACGGAGGCGGGAACAGGGAGCCTGGCGGTGGTCCAGGTGAGAGGGGCCGGCATTGTGGACCATCTCGGCGGCAGCAGTGGTGACGCTGAGGAGGGGCTGCATTCTGGGCACAGGTTGATGGCAGTCGAGCCAGCAGAATTTCCCGGTGCAAAATGTGAGAGAAAGAGAGGAATGAAGACCAGTGCCGAGGATGTCGGCTTGAGCAACTGAAGGATGCAGCCGACGTTAACTGAGATGGCAAAGATGCAGGTGGGCAGGTGCAGAGGAAAAGGTCGGAACCTCGATTTTAGAAATGTGGAGGTCGGCCAGGAGCGGTGGCTCGCACCCGTAATCCCAGCACTTTGGGAGGCCGAGGTGGGTGGATCACGAGCTGAGGAGGTCAAGACCAGCCTGGCCAAGATGGTGAAACCCTGTCTCTATTAAAAATACAAAAAACAAACAAACAAACAAACAAAAAAACAGCTGGGCATGGTGGCAGACACCTGTAATCCCAGCTACTCGGGAGGCTGAGGCAGAAGGCAGAAGCTGCAGTGAGCCAAGATTGCGCCACTGCACTCTAGCCTGGGCGACAGAGGGAGACTCTGTCTCAAAAAAAGAAATGGTGACTGTAAGGTATGTATTTTATTAACATCCAAGTGGAGAGACTAAGAACTGAATACACAAGATACACTAATAACAGCTGTGTATAAGGCTGGGCACAGTGGCTCACGCCTGTAATCCCAGCACTTTGGGAGGCCGAGGCGGGAGGATTCCTTGAACTCAGCAGATCGGGACAAACCTGGGCAACATGGTAAAGCCCCATCTCTACAAAAAAATACAAAAGGCAGCCAGGTGTGGTGCAACTCTCTGGTCCCAGCTACTCGGGAGGCTGAGGTGGGAGGGTCACCCAAGCCTGGGAGGTCGAGGCTGCAGTGAGCTATGGCAGCACCACTGCACTGCAGTTTGGGTGACAGAGTGAGGCCCTGTCTCAATTTAAAATACTAAATTGTTGGCCAGGCACAGTGGCTCACGCCTGTAATCCCAGCACTTTGGGAGGCCAAGGCAGGTGGATCACCTGAGGTCAGGAGCTCGAGACCATCCTCACCAACATGGAGAAACCCTATCTCTACTAAAAGTAAAAAAATTAGCTGGATGTGATGGTGCACGCCTGTAGTCCCAGCTACTTGGGAGGCTGAGGCAGAAGAATCGCTTGAATCGGGGAGGCGGACATTGCCGTGACCCAAGATCGCGCCATTGCACTCCAGTCTGGGCAACTAGAGCGAAACTTCATCTCAAAAAATAATAATAAACTGTTGTGTATAAGAGGTGCAATTATAGACAACTTTTTCTTTCTCTTCTTCCTACTTCTTACTCTGCTTGGTCTTTGGAATTTTTAAAAATTTTGAAATCATAAGCAAGTTTTACTTTTATTTCTTCTTCTCTTTATTCATTTATTTTTTGGGTCTCACCTTGTCACTGGAGTGCAGAGGTGTGATCTCAGCTGACTGCTCCAACTCCCGGGTTCGAGTGATCCTCCCGCCTCGGTCGCAGAGCACCTGGGATACAGGTGTGCACCATTACGCCCCAATAATTTGTGTATTTTTGTAGAGACGGAGTTTCACCACGTTACCCAGGCCAGTCTCAGACTCCTGACTGAGCTCAAGCAATCCACCCACCTCAGCCTTCCAAAGCACTGGGATTACAGGCATGAGCCACTGCACCTGGCCAAGTTTTACTTTTATAATAAAAAGTAAACCACATTTAATTTTAAAACATAATAATATGTAAGTTATAAGATATGAGAGGAATAATCAAGCATTGCAGACTTTCTTTTAAATCTGCTTGTGTCCAGAACTTGAAATTCAGGTCAATTCCACATTCTCTGCATCCTTACCACAGGCTCGATGCCCTGCTAGCTCAGGGGACACTGAGATGAACAGAGGTGGCCTCTGCCTGCTGTCGCTCACGGCTCCACCGGCTGCAGCCCAGTCTCAGTAAATGCTTAATCAAAGTCCAAAGCAAGACCTGGGGCAGTGGACGGAAGGAGGGAGCCGTGAGCACATACACAGCCCCTAGACTGCAAAATGGCGAGAGCACACAGCTCACAGCTCAACAGACAGCCTCTGGGCCATACTGAGTGAAGTTTAAGGCAGGATGGAAGCACACAGATGGGTGATCAGGTCTCTCTTTACTGAAACACAGAACATGTGCCAAGGTGAGTCCAAGGACACCTGTGGGAACAGGCGAAGCCCCCCTCCCGACACATATACTCCAGTATACGGGAGCTAGGGTCCTGTTGCCACATCTGGGGTGAGGGGCTTGGGCCGGCTGCCCTTCATGAGAAACTTCTGGGTACCTCTCCGCACAGCAACGCAGCTCCGGTCTGCTGGTGGGGGCCCAGGCAGCCCCCTCTTTTGGCATAGAAACATGCCTGGTTGCAGCTGATGTCCGCTAGCCTCTCCTGACGCGCAGCAAGGAGACTTGGAGGAGAGGCACGTGGGCGTGGAGTTCACGGCGGACCTGGACAGCAAGGGAGCCAGGTGTTCCTTTCAGCCCATCTGGCCCGTGAGCTCACCACAGGCAGAGGACAGGAAGGGACAGTGGGGCGGAGCACGTGAGGAGGACAGCAGCCCTTCCCGGGCCTCCCACATGCTAGACTCTGGCCAGGGGCTTCACACACGATGTCATCTAAACTTCACGGCAACCTTATAAAGCAGGTGTTATGATCCTCACATTGTACGGGATGCAAGTCGCATGGAATCACTCATCCAAGACCACAGAGTTAGGAACCAGAATGCACACCCAGATCTGGCTGGTTCCAAAGTCCATTGTCTAATCCCTGAGCCCAACTGTCGGCTGTCCCTGGACAAGAACGGGCGCCCAACCCCCACATGGCCTGGTGCCTGCACCTCAGCTACCTGACCTGTTCCAGTGTCTTTCCAATTCCTGAAATCATTTCCTGTTCAGGGGTTCAGACCTGACATTCAAACCTGGCTTCCTGGCCGGGCATGGGGGCTCTCAGCCGTAATCCCATCACTCTGGGAGGCTGAAGCAGGTGGATCACCTGAGGTCAGGAGTTCAAGACCAGCCTGGCCAACATGGCAAACCCCTGTCTCTACTCAAAATACAAAAATTAGCCAGGTGTGGTGGTGGGCGCCTCTAATCCCAGTTACTCAGGAGGCTGAGGCAGGAGAATCACTTGATTCCAGGAGACGGAGGCTGCAGGGAGCCAAGATCACGCCATCGCACTTCAGCCTGGACGACAGAGCGAGACGCTGTCTCAAAACAATAAATAAAACGAAGCAAAACCAGCCTCCCTCTTCAACAAGGATCCACGCTTGCTCCTCCGATTACCAT